GAGAGAGAGAGAGAGAGAGAGAGAGAGAGAGAGAGGAGAGAGAGAGAGAGAATGAACGAGTGAGCAAAAGAGTGTCTGAACGATGGAGGTTCGCTTGGAATGACTTGGATACTCTCGGTCAGTCACATACGCAACGCGGAACGGGGAGTACATTTTCGTTTCTCTGCAATAAACTGATTAATTTTCGTCATCAAACTATATTTTTACATATTTATTCGTACTGTTTCGTTGATTCGCATTCGTATCGCGTGTGCTTTCGTCTCTAAAATTGTGTGATTCGTTGTTCTGATATCAAGAGTGATTAGTCGAGGATGCAAGTGGGTTTATTATGTGATAATTTTTCCTTTCTTTTTCATCTGGTTCAATAATAAAATATTTAAAGGTACGTTTATTTACGTAAAAGAGATGCACTCTTTTAACCTTTTACATATAGCGTTTTCTTGATTCATTTGAAAACACGTGTTCTGACGTTTACTGCTATATATTTAATTCTTATTGGATGAAAGTTTTTTTTTTTTAGATAATCTTATATAATTTTTTTTCTTTTTTTTTTTCGAATCTTTCATACGTATATTTTATACGCGAAACAAGATAAAATTTAAAAATTTTAAAGGTTTGACATTAAATTTGTTTTTAAATTTATATAAATGACTTTAGACGAACAAAAATATTTTATATAATTAATTAATACTAATTTAATATTAATACGCATATATCTGCTTTTTGCATAGAAAATAAAAATGAAAGATAGCCTTGAATTTGGTATTTCGCATTTTGCGCGCGTTTACTGCTCCCTCCTTCCTCCGGGTCACATTGAAATGTTTTTCGTTTTGGTAGTGTGCAATTCATAGAATAGATAATAAAGGAAGAAAAAAAATGATATTGATGAATATAGAGACATGTCGAAATATTATTACAAGATTAAATTTTTTCCGACAAAATTAACAATCGTTCAGTAACGAAATCCATTTATCGACCAATCGATCTATATAGCTTAAATCGATTTAAATGAAATTTTGCATTGTCTTAAGTAATGTTAGATTATAATGTTAGTATGGCAATGTCACAATTGAGCAGTTGCCAAAATTGATTTCAAAGTAAGTTAGAGGGTCGACCTAATGGTATTATTAGATTTTGTGTTATAATATTATGAATTTATTCTGTAGCTACTCCCCCATGAGGATATACTTTCATCATATATTTAATTATAATAGAAGCAAAATTAATTAAAGTAAAAATGAAATAATCGCGTAATGAAATAAATTTATCAAACAATACAAATCAAAATTTTTTTATCTCACAATAAGTTTAAAAAAAATATAGATATTGAAAAGAACGATTATAAAATTTATTCAATCATGCGTCATTTCATCAAGAGTCAATGATGTTTGGTTCTCAATGATCAGAAAAAGCGGATACGTATGACGCGCCTTCGGTAAAGTTAATCTGCGATTGGTTGAATTGGTAGGCGTTGGTTCCGAGACGTTTTACTATTGGTTCAACTGGTCATCGGCCAAGAGGCTCGATCCCCAGCGGATCTCATTCCTTTTCCTTTTTCTTGATATTCTTCAATTGCAATTTTTTATTCTTATTCAGTGATTTATGATTTGTTTTCGTTAGGAATAATGCGATGATATTCTTCATTGAATCTGTCTATTTAAAAAGTTTTGTTATTATAACATTATATCATTTAATTCACATGCACACATTCACTGATTTTCCTACATACAATGTGTTGTTCAAGTTCGATGCCAAGTTCAAAAGGTCATACTATCAAGTATACATATATTGGATTTACCGATTTCACGCATTTCATTGGCGATATCATTTTGTACGATACTATGGTTGTGATGAAACTTTGATCATTTAGTTTCAAGCAGTTATTTTAACTCTTGTGACGTAATGAGACACGCTAGGAGACTTTGTACAATCTCGAATGAGAATGAGATGTATGCTTACTGACGTTGCAATTTCATTCGCGGCAACTTCAGTACGTATAATTATTAATTTGTGTAAAAAAATTTTTGATTCGTATAATTAAGAACAATTATTTGTAAAAGACTTTGTTGACGTTAATTTAATCAAAAAGAAATAATATTTTCTTAATTCTCTTAATTTGCAACGCAGTGAATGTTCGTTTAAAATTATAAATTGTAGCATATGCTATATATATATATATATAATATTATGTCGAGATGCATAGAATTCCATAGATAGACGATTATTGTTATATTTTCTTTTTAGAATAATATCGAGAATTCTTCTTATTCTTAGATGTAAATTATAGAAAAAAAATTTCATTGACGTCAATACGATTCGAAATCATATTTGCTATCAAATCAATTTGATAGCCTAATTCGTTTTTCTTCCAATGATATTATGTCTTATCTCTTTCAGAAACCAATTCACGATTGTCGATCATGATGAAAAGCATCATTGTTCACCATAATATTTTACTCTTCACGTATATTAAATATATATAGGACTTATTATGCGATTCGTCATGACAACCAAATTCTTTTACATATAAGTACAAATTAAAATGGAAAAATTATAAAGTAAAATGAAAAATAAACATTAAGATTTTAATGAGTAAATTTGCATCTAATTTGTATTTGTAACAATATAAATTAATTAATATAAATATAAATGCATAAAAAGCGCCAGAAAAACATTACAAATGTCGATTTTAATCGCGTAAGAAAATCTCAACAAAGAAAATGAAATTCTCTTTAGCAGATGTATCTTCATTTCATTTAATTAATGATCTAAGTTTCGAATTACTTCCTCTTTTTTTATGATTAATAGCATTTAAATATAAATAAAATAAACAATGATTGAATCGGAAAAACGAATGTTATTTTCAAAAAATTGTAAAAAAAAATAATCATTTCGGCAATGTTTTCTTATTGTAGATTCATAAATTTGGTTCTTCAATTTTTTCGATAAAATCAAAAGCGAACGATTAATTAGCGAACAATATTAAGGAAATATTTGACATCATAAACTTTATTAAATTTGCTAACGCGTCATTGAAAAACGTGACCATTAAAATTGTGAGGAAATGGTATGCGTGTTCGTCGATTTTTCGAACGAGGGGCTCATCGATACGCAAGCTTGACGATTGGTCGACGAGTAATTTGACGTCAGCATGCAATGAAATAATCGGGGGCTCGCGCAATTGCGTTTTATTATTTTGTTCCTTCCCTGTGAATTGATCTTGGTATATCAGAATTATTGTGATTAGACGTTATCGACGAGTCGTAATAGCGATAAAAAATTTTCCATGACATCCTCCGTTTTGAAATAGGTTCATCAGAGAAATTTAAGCGATGATTTATCCATGCGTCGATCATACAGATTTTCGATGAATTTCGAAAGAAATGGGCTTATATCAATTAAGTTTACGATGAGTAAGAAGCAAAAACAATAGATCAAAGTATTATTTTATTGTCTCCTTTTATTTAACGAATTCATAAATTTCTAATCCTTTTTTTATTCTTTTTTTTAATGATATAAAATGCGATATAATTAAATATAATTCAACTTTATTTCTTAACATAGAACGGAACATATTTCGGCATACGTGCCGATGCACACGCCACATCGCTCATCGCAAACGTGGTCAAATTTAAAGCAAGTATTCTTAGAAACCGATTCGAAATATTCGGTTCTCTTATGCGTAAAAAATGCTATTCTAGAGTATTAAATGCTAATGAATGAATTTGATTCATCGATCCATGATCGTGGTATACTTTTTTATTGCGTAAATCTATTCTTTTGTTTCGTCGTGTATCGAAAGCTTCATATTACCAACAGTCGTTTCATGTTCGTATTATCGACCAAGACCGTCATTGCCTACTACCAATATCAGTAATGATCTATGTACTTTGTTATTCTTCTTTGTTATATTCTTAAAAGATGGAAGCACTAATATTTTCAATGATTTTTCATATTTGAATAGAGAATACGTTATCAAGAATATATATAGAAATATTTTAATAATATATATATGCAGTTATATTGCAAAATAATACAAATGAAAAAAATATAATATACAAATAATTAGTTTTCGTGCGCATTGCTATATGATGTGTTTTTTCTTAATTATTTCATCATGTATATAACGATAATCATAAGATATGATCAATATAGAAATCGATTATTAGATTTGAATTAGAATTGAAGTCGAACTTTTTTTTTTTTTTAATTTTAAAAAATAATTTTGATTTTTATGTATAATTTACTAAAATTATTTTTGATATTCCTTACAAATAAGCGCACGATTTTAAAATTGAGAAAAATAATCTTTTAAGATTCGATAATCTAAGTTTTGCGTATATTCCGTAATCGGTATAGATTCTTTTAAATATTCGGTAAAATTGTCAAGGTCAATCTATTGGCGTGGACGTTGACCAATTGGGTCACGTTCATTGATAAATATTTAGTTTGAATCGCGAAAGAAAAGAAGAGATGGATATTATCGATATTATTCGGAACGTGCGTTTTCATGCATATTTCGTAAGTTGCAGATATACAGCAGCTATATTGCAACATTTTAAATAAAACGTGCGTTACTGAATTATCTAATAATAATAATAACAGTCTCATTACGTGAATAACAATTAATTCTTTATTACATTTTGTACACAGTTGTAACTGGATGGATAATTATATATTGCTTATTGTTTATATATCTTAACCTTCCATTCTGTCATATACCATGTATACATGGTATCTTTCTGTTTGATAATTCGGTCGAACGAGAGTCAGAAGGAACGCGATATCAAAATTTTTGCTTCTTTCTGGTTGTCATTATTGTCGTCATCGTCACCGTGTGCCCTCTCGATACCGCGAGCCCTCCGCTCCGACCTATTTCCATCTAAAAATAGCCAATAGAATGATTGTCGTTACAGCAACGTTCATTTGGTCGCGGCATATCGCTATTAAACTCGAAGACTTCTTACGCGCAATTGGCTTTACACTCCCTTTGCCTTCCCTTCCTCGTTCTTTCTTCGACCAATCCCAACGCATGGTTTTTCGTCGCGAAGGTATCATGCATATCACGATACTCTCTTTGCTATGGATAACGAGACATGTGCAATTTGTCACCTCTATCAAATTTACTCGTGATGTTTGATCTTAAAATATCAACCGAAACGAAGATAGAAACTCTTGTCTTGTTTTTTTCTTTTTCTTTTTCTTTTCCTTATTTGTTCTCAAAGAGAAATATATTGTTCGCGTATATATTATATTTTTATGGAATCGCAATTACGATTGATGCGTTGAGTCGAGTTTTTTCGTTCTAAAGCATAAGATTGGATAAAAATCGTATTATCGTGTCCTTGACCGATCGAATATAACCGTGTGTGAATCGTGTAGGAACGAGTTGCGAAGAATGGGATAATTCGCGGCTTATCGTGGTTAGGAGGAGTTGACAAGCACAACTGGAGGCGGGGAATGAGAGTAAGTTCGAATCTGTAACACGGTATGTGTCTTGTAGCAGCAGTGCGTTATGACGCGTGCAACAATGCGGGCCGTTCGGGACTAATCGGGACTAATCGGGACCAATCGGGACCAATCGGGACTCTCGATGCTGGAGGCTCGCCTCTTGCGTTCTTCGCGCATTCTTGACGTATTTCTCGCGCATAGCCGATCGCGCGTGCTCATAAAGCGACCGCGTATCATCTCGACCGATTTAGTCGCGTACCGTATATCTCTCACCGCGTACCGTACACCGTATACCTTCTCCGCACGAATATCAGCGATCTTTTATTATCTCGAAATTCTCCAAAACGATTAATTTTTTTCTTCTCGATTTTCAACCTCTCTTCAAACAACAAATCATTACGATCCGTGACAGTCGTAAGATAACCAAGATTTTCGCATTTGCGTCACCGAATCGCCGCCGTAAGTACGAATAGGTCGAAAAGGAAGATGCATCGATATTCATATTTTTTTCTTTTCTTTTTTTTTTTTAAATCCAACTTCTTAATAAAGAGAAAAACAGGGAAACAAGGAAAGAAGGAAGGAAGGAAGGAAGGAAGTAGCAAGGTATCGTTAACAAAGATTATAGAATCGTGTCCGCGTTATACTCAAAGGTATTGCGTTGCGCCGAAAATGTATAGTCTTACGATATCGCGTGTCCCCGTCACGCGGAGGATCGATTTACTCGACTTATTCTCTCGATGATTAGATCGTGAATCAAATCCAATCTCCGTTGGACCTATTAGGGTTCGAGGAAGAGGCGTTTGAATGGTTGGTTAATAAACGAAGCGACGCGAGTATAGCAGGTGTACACTTTGGCTGTTATAATCGTAGTTTGAGCGCGGCCGTCGGGCTAATTTCTTCGATCGAACGGGCGAAACGGTCGTAAGATAAATCATCGAAACGATTTTCGCTTCGGCTCGCGCCTCTTCGCCGCTCGTGGAAATTTTCCTAATCGAGCTAATGCGATCCCGCGTAACGCGCCCAACATCGACTGTCGATTCTGCGCCGCCCGGATACACAATAGTCGTTAGTCCCTCTCTCTCTCTCTCTCTCTCTATAACAACTAATTCGTGGTACCGTTAAAACCAACGTAA